GATTGACCACATCTAATTAATATGACAGGGGGGTGGTTAGAAAAGCATTAAAAATCAAAAAGTTGCTACATCTCGAATAAATTAAGATAAAAAATCAATGTATTTAACAGAGTAGAGAGCGCAATTTCAAAAACTGACATTAACCACGATCTTTTGAACAACAGACAAGTAGGGAATATCCTCACTATCAAGTATATCTCAGCATAAAAATATCGTACGCTATGGATTCAAAATAGATTTTGAAGGGAAAGAATGGTACTTTATGATAATGTTGGTAAAAATTTTGATTAAGTTTTGGTGATTTTTTAATACAGTGAAAATGACCAAAAATGTCATTTTTTTTATATAAAACCCAATTTATTTTGAAAATTTGACGTGCTGTACGTAAATTCTGTGACCACATTCGGATTCAGTACGCAAAAAAAAAATACATGGGAAATCACTAATACATATCTTAAAAAAAATTGAACTTTCATTTTGCAGACCTGTATTATTATTGATAATTATATTCACTCTGTAGATTAAAACTTGAATATTCAATGTCGTTTTATGACTTGAATTAAAAATCGCAAACCGACTTATCTTGCATGATCGTATGTGTCACTTATATCACAAGTAGAGCAATATCTTATAAATTAATTACAAAAACATCGATTAGAGAGCCGAGAGTATAAAGAAAATGTAAAAAAAAGAACACTTGTATGCAAACTCTGATTCAAATCGATGCATGATCTGTTCTGTTGCGAGATATGGTATTCATTCGAACCAAACTTAACGATCTGAGTAGCGTACGACTACAGCGAGATTGAAGCGTGTTTGGTAGAGACCGCAGATTAACCACCATTGCATTTGGAATACATCCCTATAGGCTAGAAACCAGCTTCACCCCCGGAGCTGAGCTTTGCACGAGGGTGAGTCTTGTATATCGAAACGAAACCAGTCTTCCCTCTCCTTCGACATCGACATCAGTGTCTGTAGACTTCGAATGACGTATCTACTCCAACCTCTTTCCCCTCCAGTCGCCCCACCATGTCTCACGTGATATAAAGCGATGAAAATAATGTAACGCACCGCTACCAAATCTATTGACACGCCACCCCGTGTGCACGCATACGCGCGCACATCATCCATTCATATCTACGTGCGTGTACGCCAGAGAAATGAGAGTCGTGACTGGTTGTCGAGATCGAGATGTTAGAGAACCCCTCTGTAAATAAGCAAGATGGCGATGTCAAAATAATCGTAGACAGGCCATAAGATAGGCCATGGTCTAAATTTTTACTTACAGTATATACAAAAAAGGATACTTTTTTTAAATTTAATCATAAATGATCAATACTTTTATTACTCTACTTCACAGACATATGCGTGAAATGTTTGCTTAAGTACAAGACGCAAGAAGGTTAAAAACTTTATTGTAAAAGACTTTTTTTATTAAGTTTTGTAGCACGTTTCTATAGAGCACTTTAGATATGGAAGCAAACAGTTTCTAAATATCTAATCTGTCGTTATTTAATTTAATTATCAACGTAATATAGTAATAGAATTCAGATATCTGTATAGATTAAGTATATATATTTGTTTGTATTAATGTAAAGTCACGAACAATAAAACAGCGAAATCAGGAAACAGAAATGTGTAAATAGAGTAGAGGCTAATACTGTGGAGTAACGCCGTAATAAGTACTATAATAATATATGATCGAGCCAGATATTAAATAGCTGAATACAAATAGTTCCACGAATGATTTCAAAGACTTTACGTCGACCATTGTAGGCGTGTTTGCGAATAACGCTGACGACATCGACAATAATGTAATAGCGCAAAGTAATTCAGCGAGTTACCGACTACTTACTAAAACACTAGGAACACTTACGAACTTTACGCGCTTTGCACGTATAATTCCCTCTGCGAACAACATTAATGTCTAAATATATATTCGTCTGCGACAAAATTTTTAAATAAATGCCAACAAATGTCTGAAATTTATAAACATCAACAAATAATTAGTTTTAACAAATTAGATTTGTGTAAAATTATTAAATTTTTATTTGTATCTAGTTGTTTAAGAAATTTTAGTTATTAAGGAAATAGCCTAGTAGACTCGTAAAACTATACATTAAAAACATTTAGCTAATAAATCAACAATACTAAGCAATATTTAACTATTTCATTATTGACTGTATTTTCAAAAAAAGAAATAATTCTATCTCTGTATATACAACATATGTATACATATATACATATACTATAATTATTATTTTATTATACTAAATGTTCTGTAATAATATTAAGTATAATATACAATTTGAATGATTTTAATTTATTTTATGACTTATTTATGTGAATTATATATATAATTGATCAAATGTATGCGATATGCAAAAACTTTGTAAAGCGTGATGCGAAGCAATCATCGCTAATCGCATTGCGTAGAAACCAATATTTGTAACGATATTGAGCACCTATGCGACACGTAGAGGAGCAACAACATGCGTGCCGTAGACAACTTGCCACTTGTAGCAATTGACCACGTAAGTGTTTACCGTCCCCTTCGAGCTACGTGACGCTATGCGACGCGATTTCGCTTTACTTTAAACATGTCGTTCATTATTTCACAGTGAGTTGCAATTGTAATAATATAACTTAATTTTTTATAATTTTTTGATAATGTAATACCTCATTTTGTGCGCGTTTAATTGAAATGTGCAAAAGTGTCGGCAGTTTCTTCAAAATACAAAAACTGTTTTTTTTTTTACTATGATCCATGAATCCAAAGGAATGTTGGTTGATATTTTTCAAAAGTCGCCAATGTGTATAAATCATGTTAAGTACTTATTGTTAGTGCGATTGTATTCAAAATTTTAATCCTCTTGATTAAACGCATGACAAAACGCATTAATATTTTCATTGTTATTTTGACAATTAATTCAAATAAACGAATCGAGAGAAAGAGAGAGAGGGAGGAAGGGAGGGAGGAAAATAACGCTCATTTTTTTATATGGGGAAAAATTAAAGGGATGCGAGGGCTTAATAAGATTCGCACCCATTAAGCAAAACTGCTGCATTAGCTACTCGAAAGTATAAGAATGCCAAGCACGTCTGACGGTGGGCAGGCCGCGCGGGTTACAATCCAATCTGCCGATTCTAACCGATCTTTTTTTCTCCCTCGTTTTCTCTTCGGCCCTTTGGACGTTTAAACTCTGGTTAGACATACGCGAGCGCGCGCCATTATCTTATTTATGCCTCATTGTCTCAATGTATCATACCAATATCGCGTCTGCTCGTACCGAGCGGCAACACGTTCCTGGACTATCATCAGAGTGCATGTGAATGTACTGCGCTTACAAGAAATAACGCTTTACAATTGATCTATTCTTTTCTCTATTTTAGTAAACCTAGCTTGTGAAAAAATTCGTAAGATAAATTATAATAATTACAACGCGTTCTTTTATTTCTAGTTTCTAATATTTCAAATGCAAAAGTCCTGAATTTGGTTGTCTTAAAATTGTACCTACGCAATCAAATTTTTCTTTCAATAATTATAATGTTTTCATACGTAGGTATTTAAAAGTGTAACATTCTTAGATGCGATACATCAAAATCTTCTAAAAACTCTGCAACATTTTGTTCAGAAAATGTTTTGCTAAAGAATAGTTCATCTCCTTGTTTTCCTCACTTTTTATTGACATCTTGAGAAGAAATATAGATTTACGTTTGAGGGTTTTGTCCTTTTATCCCCGCTAAGAAAAAGTGGTTGCAAAGTTAAAAGCCAAGAAGGAAACCTCGCAAAGGACGTTGAAATGTGTTTATGGCTATACTGCAGCACTAAAGCAATTTTGCAGCGGTGGCCTCGTACGTCTGTCTAATTCTAAACGTTGTGTCATTGTGTGTGTGTCTCGTTTCTCAGACGAGTCAAACCTTTATCATATACTGTGTTTTGACACTCGACGGGTTCTGCCTATTAAATTTTACGAGCGGTTATGACACGCAAAATCTCTCGATTTCGGAGGAAAATCTGTTTCTTCTGATCTCGAATTATTCCGGGAGAAGAATAACACACTAATATATTATTTAATATCATATAGAGACAGTAAATAACTAATAAAAACACATGCATGAATAATTTATTGCTCAATTGTTACTTAAAATTTCAATGTTTAAATAATGTTTATTGACAAAATGGTATTTAATATAAGGTTGTTAGTTGGTTTAGTCACAATAAAAAATGAAGTAAAAAACAAAGATCATGTATATTTACGTATATATATATATATATATATAAATATACACACATATATATACATATATATGTATATATACACACAATACACTGTATGTACAATATTGATACATTTTTGTGAGAAATTTCAATTTTTGAAAAGATAATCTATCTTAATTTCGTATAAATTATACATATAATACATAATACATATATGTATAATGTTTGTAATATTTTTAGCAACAATAATTTCTATATGTACACGTTGTAATAACAGGCTGCGAATGACTATCTATAAATCCGGCTATACATAATTATCGACTAATCAATGCTGTACATACTAGGACCACAAAAGAGAGATCACAAGTAAAATTTTATCTATATGTATAACTATGTATTTATAAGTCACATTATACTATTCTTGTCTCTGTATCTCGAAAGTTGTTGAGATTCAATCTCAAGATTCACATTTTGGTAAAGTTCTATCGACGAAATGTTGTCATTTGATATGATATATTTACAGAAGAAGCAATATATCATGTACGAGAGAAAGTATATACAAATTCAAAGAGACGAGTTCAAGTACAAATCGACCGCGCAATTATTGACAATTATACAAATTGAGTACAATCACTAGTATTAGCATCGAGAATACTGTAACCGCGAAAGGATTTCATCCTTTAAATACTATAAACTATTTAATATATCGATTAATTTTAAATTCCTCTCGAGAAATAGATTTCTCATATATGTGTAGCTATAACTTTGCTGCGAAAATCACGCTGTTAATGATACAAAAAAACAAATTTATAAACTTGAGAGGAAATTTAGTCCAGCTAAATTCATCAAGAGTTTCAATGACTACATTTATATCTATAAGATTTGACGAAATGACAGAATTTTTACATGCAGGGGGTGAGATCGTGCTGTACTTCTTGGAGACGGGCGTTTTTGAAGATTACGATTAGATCGCAATTCAGCTTTGTCGGCCAGTGAGAACCGTGATGGGCTTTAGAAGGAGTTGCGGCGGACTGTGAGGAAGCGGTCTCGACGGCTGGACAGAATTGCAAACGGTAACTGGTGGCGAATGCGGATCCATTGGTTCCGGACTACTTCCAGGCGAAGCCGTACTAGAGGGAGGTTGACTTAGAACTTGAGGTGTTTGACCGAGATGATATCTGGATTGTTGATGGAATATTGATGCTGGTATCGGTGGTATCGTAATAGATCGTAGGGTACTATAGAAATCCTGGTAAGGATTTCCCGTAGGCGAGATTCCAGACGTCGGAATGCTGATGCCGCCAGGATACCCAGTAGGTGCTTGCAGTAACCTTTCCACGGAGAACGCTCCATGAGTCGAAGGTGCCGCCGTTGCTGGGAGAGGTTGCGGTTTGCAAGGCAAGCTTGTAGCCGATGATGTGGTCGCCGCGCCTGGCAGCAAACTGGCCGGATACCCGGCGGGGGTGGTATAAGAGCCGGCGGTCACTGGAGGATACGCAACGGCGCGATGAAGACAAAGTGACGAAGGTAGAGCGTAGAGCGACGTCGGCCATCCCGGTGGTGCGTAAGGTGACGGATAAAGACCGCCGAGTACCACGCTTCTCTTAAAGGCCGCCAGTCGGGATCTGGAAGCCGCCGTAGTTCTACGCCGAAGTTTTCCCGTGGCACCTCCGATGAACACGTCCTCGGAGCTTGGGTCCAGCATCCAGTAGTTGCCTTTTCCCGGATCGTCATAGTGGCGAGGTACCTTGACGAAACACTTGTTCAGAGACAGATTGTGCCGAATGGAGTTCTGCCAACCTTGCTTATTATTTTCGTAGTATGGAAAGTGGCGCATTATGTACTCATAAATGCCGTTCAAGGTGAGTCGCTTTTCGGGACTTTGTCGGATAGCCATCATGATTAGCGCATTATAGCTGTATGGCGGTTTCTCCGCCTTCTTTTTATCCTCCGTCTGTTCTTTCGAATCCTTTTGGCTCATCGGACTGACGGACGTTGCGCTCGTGGAACAGTCCAAGGGCGGCGTTTCCGCACCACCACCGGTAACATCGAGATCACTGCAATCATCGCTGTCGTCGGCGGGACCTATGTCGGACAAATCCGACTGACTGACCGACGGCGCGGGAGTCCCGGCACATGCTTCAGGCAAGATACTGCGGATGCTAAAGTTGCTCTTCAGGGCAGCCCGTGGCGGCGGCGAAGCTGTCACGGTATGCTGCTCCCCCGAACCCTCCATATTCACCATATTTCAAACGTTTTTGCGCCGTAACACCGTACTTTTCGCTCTCGCACTTCCAAATCAATTAGCACGTAATCGCACCGTACCTGGTCACATGTATACGTTCACTCAATTTCTATTTCGTTTCTACATTTTCTTCTTATTCAACTACACAACACATCCCGAAAACGACGTTGCTTTTCTTTCTCCTTTGTTTTATTTTTTTCCTTTTTACGCACACCGTTCGTTATGAGCCCTATCTCTTCTCAGCTGCGAGCAACGTGAACGTTAAAACGCTCTCACCGAGAGGCCGCGCGTTTCTGACCATTTCTCCCCGCCACGGATACTATTTATACCTGGCGTTTGGATACGCCCACTAGTAACGACACGACGTACCTCGAGGGCTCGCTGACCAATCGTGATGGTAGCGCACTGGTAATGCCGCTCGACCCCACCACGGTGTTTGCATCCAATGTTTGACAGCAAACAATGTCAGCGATGCGGAGCCACGGCGAAGGCTGGTTGGGATTTCGGAGGTGGCAGCGAGGCGCAAGCGGACCCGAAGTGATCGCGCAGCATAGTGGGGAGCGCAGCCGCAACTAAACGTGCATCCCCGCGTATGCAAACAAATAATCCAACGCGTTATACTCGCGTCTCTACGCCCTCCTACAGGATTGGCACGTTCTTGCACGTCGAGCACTGTGAGAGTTGCAGCGCAGGATTGGCATGGGGAAAGATATGTGTATGGCACAATTGTATTTGTATTCTTCACCGAAACTTGCTTCAATTTTCATAGCGTTGTCGAATATGGAGATGATGGGGACGCTTGTTGCAGAACATCGTTCATACACCTGGCGTCACCGACTTCATTTTCGACTTGAGCGTTTGTCAACTGACAATGAGAGATGTGCTAACAAACTTGAGATTTTGCACGAAACAAACACCATTTTTATGATATATTTACAAGAATTATGTAAGTTGTTAGATTACCTATTATTACACGAATTTTTCGTATTTTATTTTCTTTCTGTTTCTCTTCTTTTGTTAGTTGATAAGTTTTTGTTTTATAGACATCTACACTATTATGTTTATCCTGAAGAAAGATAAAATGAGAATATAAACTTACTACCTAATGATAATAATGATCCAATAATTATTTTACTTAACAAGTACATTGAGAAGAAAATACTTACAAATTTATTTGTGAGAAATATATTTATCTTACTAAAATAAATATTTACTTAAATATGGCAAAATAAAGTTTTATTCCTATCAAATAAACCATCTATTTTATTTTTTTACAATTAGAAATATATTTCACAGAAATGTGTATTTCGTCATTATAATCAAATTTTTTCATAACTAATAAATGTCAAAGAAAACGTATGTCGTAAGTAACATTTACTTCGTAATACTTCGACATTTTTTTCTCAGTGCAGTAAGAAACAAGTATCATCTTTCAAGTTCAAGACAATAAAGTCTACTTATGCTCGCGGGAAAATTATACGATCTTCTCTAAGGAAAAAAATTTCCTTCTTACAAGTAACACTATTCTTTGGGCCGTCCGATTTGGTTCATGTATAGGGTTTTTTGTTAAGTATTTGCAATGTAGAATCAAATAAAAAAGGTATTACATGCTGAGGGAGTCATTCAAAGTTATGGTGAATCGTTATTTTTCAGCGAAAATCGGAAAATATCGTATAAGCGATAAATTGAGTAAACACCATCAATTTTGGCATTTTTTCGTCCTTATCGTGATTTTAAGAGAAAAATTTTCTTTTTTATTGAATATAAAGTATTCTCTATAGGAATTTTATATAATATATATTATATTATTTCATATAAAATTGGTATAAAATTTGAATAGGTAATTTTGGATAAGTATTTGGTATAAAATTTAAATAAGAGAGTAAAACAGATGATATTTTATTATTTTTTAAATCAAATTTTATTTTATTTTATTTTCAAACCAAATTTCTCGTTTCGCATGTATACATTTCGAGAAAATATGAGAAAAGCAATATGATTGAAGAAAGTATTCAATCACTGTAAGAGCTGCTAAAAATAAAACGTTATTAGAATTTTTTTGAATTTTTACGTTTAATGGATTCCTTACAGTAATGTATCAACTATTATGTAAGTAATAATTTAATATAGTTTTATTTTTTTGATGAAACTAATATCTTACAATTTTTCTCTTGAGATCACAATAAGAAGGACGAAAAACATCAGAATTGGTGACGTCTCATTCAATTTATCGCTTATACAAGGTGATTCGAAATTCCCGCATTCGGAGTACAGGACATGATACTTTATGCTAAAACAAACAACTTTTTCTTTTAGCAAAATTGCGTCCGACAAGTAGTTTTTGCAGGAGAGCAGATTGAAGTTATATGAAATCTAGAAAATAATTGAATAATTCCGATCGGAATCCATTCCGATTTTGTTCCATGATAGGTACCCTGGTAAATACGGTAGGTGGTAAATTTTTGTCATAGCGACTGCCGATAATCGATTTTTTCCATTTTTACAAAAACACTGACATCGAGTATACACAAATGACTGTCAAACAACAACTGAGCGCCCAAAGTAGCTACAATTTTCACAGTTATCTTTCAAAGCACGTACGATTGTAGTACCCCAAAATGGTTTTGACGAGTAATGCCATCTTCATGTTGAGGCTCAAAATTTTTCAAACTACCGATGTAGAATTATAATCAATATGGTCACAATGACGAAGAGGATGAATCCGTGGGGGTGCATTCGAATGAAGGGAGCAAAAGGCACGTGACAAACCATGAAAAAGGAAAGACCGAAAAGAAGGTTGTCGTAGATTCGCCAAGACAGGACATCGGCAAAAAGCAAAAGGCTTTCTTTGAACCGCGGATGACATCTTTATATGCGTTGTTCGGCTCCCTATCGTGAAAATGTCGTCACCCCATGGCGATTCGTAAATTTAGTTGCATTCCACCGCTCTCTTGTTCAAAGTATTTCCATATTACCATACTTAATCTAACAAAAGTTACAAATAAGATAAATGTGAATTGATTTAGATTATTAGAATAACATAAACCATTTCATGAAGATTATATAATAATATACAATATAAAGCGGAACTATGTTGAGCATAAGGGTAAATTGGGACATGCAAATATCTCAATAATAGAAACGATATATGGAACATGACTATATCTGTGTAAGAAAATGCGGAAATGGAGAATATTGCGCTAAATATATCAGTCTGCGTCCAGCCATCAATTGAGACATAATTTTTTTTAAGGGATATCAAATAACCATGGTCAGCACATAGATGTAATTTTTAATTTTTTCTTTTAAGCTCTTAATTTCAATATGTATAAATTATAATCAATTAATCATTATATACAACGGTTTACATATATTTAGCATCGCATAGCGTTTTAATTGATGTTTATTCTAATGCTTTATTATAGAATTTTTGACTTCTGTGTAAGGAAACCATGATTATTAAAAAAACGGTATCTCGCACATGGTACAATGTAACGGAGAATCGTTATACTCAAACCTATGTTAAGGCTATTAAATAGTATAAGTACCGACGAAAATTTGCTGTATTATTGTATTAAGAAGGGAATCTTACTTCTTCTGATTGTGAGTTAAGGCGAATCTACAGGAAAACTGACATGTCAACGAGGCGTGAGCGATTTCTATGTCACCGATAGTTCTTAAAGTTGACGCCATGCACAATAAATGTAATTTAATAATTTAAAATTGTTGAAGATATACTGAGGATGACCTGATATAAAGATCGAAACATTTATTTTTATTATACCAAACAATTTATCATAAAAATTGTTTTGGCAAAAAGACCTTATGTTGCTTTCATGCTATTATTTATTATTGATTTAGTCATAAAGTCTTAGTTATTTTATATGCTTTTCTGTATCAAAATTAATATTACTAGATGTCAAATTTACATCGAATAATATTATTTTTGTTCATTCTGTTTGATGTACGTAATAATTGACTTTTTTTAATGTAAGTCAATAGTATTTTTTAATTTAAATGTTGTAGTTGTTATTTTATTTACGGATTTTTAGTTATAAAAAATATTTTATCTGATTCCGCTAGATATCCTGAGAGGGATAATTTAATAAGATAATTTTTTCATTACATCCCAATCAGCACATTAAAAAAATATTTAAAAAATATTTTTTTTAATATTTATTTAATGTAAAAATATTAAATAAACGTTTAAAAAACGTTTTAAATATTGTATGTTGATGGGATGTTAACAATTAAAAATATATTTTATATTTAATTTTTATTATGTATTGGTTCGGATCTACAGGTGTTTAAAACCTTAAGCCGTAAGAATTTGACCAATTATAGTCGAATGCGAGGAGAACAATTTTTTTTTTTTTGACTGTGATTCCATTTCTTATGGCTTAAGGCTTAAAAACTTATTGGATTATCCGGACTTACGGTTTTAGTTTTGTTTTAATTTTTGTCAATTAAAGAGAGAGAGAGAGAGAGAGAGAGAGAGAGAGAGAGAGAGAGTGTGTGTGTGTGTGTGTGTGTGTGTGTGTGTGTGTGTGTGTGTGTGTATTTACAAATATTATTGACGTCGAAGTAGCCAAAAGAAAAATGCAATAGGAAAGCAGCCAATAGGAAGACGCAGTTGTTGGCATTCGCTCAAATAAAAGTATTGAGCTATAAATGTTCTCCGTTACATTGTAGCATGTACGAGATACCGTTTTTTTAATAATCATGGTTTCCTTACACAGAAGTCAAAAATTCTAATAAAATTAGAATAAACATCAATTAAAACGCTATGCAATGCTAAATATATGTAAACCGTTGTATATAATGATTAATTGATTGTAATTTATACATATTGAAATTAAGACCTTAAAATCTTGTAAAAAAAAAATCTGGAGCTGAATCTTATAATAGGGTAGGGACATTGACAACATTGCAGACGGAGCGATCAATACTCCTATGTTTTTGGAAACTCTAAAAATTATTGACTATTAAAATTTTGTGTCCCCCAAATTTTACGCCTTACGCTGCATAGTTGGAGAGAAGTGTCCTAAGTGTTTGACAACGTTGCGATTGTCTACAATCATTTACAACGGCCGGTGCCGGTGCTATATAATTTTTCTGCTGTACGTCGTCGAGTTGATGCATGGTCAAACGGATCCTACTCTGCTCGAATATATATCTTTACTACCTATAAATAGTGATAAAGAATTGTGACATAGATGAAGCAATTTTTAGAGAAACTAAAGAATATGCCAAAAATAAACAATAATTGTTTAAATGAAATA